ATATTCACGACATAATCTCGCCATGATCAACGGCGAAGTTATGTCGCTTTGAAAGGTCATATCTCCGCCGCTCTAAAAAAATCTTGGAGATATGACGTTTCAAAGCGACATAACTTCGCCGTTGATCTTGGCGGTTTCTACGGACCAACGCGAGTAACCCCTCCCTTTTTGACCGTAATCGGGCATTATTTGGCCGAGATATAGCCATTTAATATTTTCCAAAAAAAATCGTGTGGTTGTGGACACGATATTTACGACATAATCTCGCCATGATCAACGGCGAAGTTATGTCGCTTTGAAACGTCATATCTCCGCCGCTCTAAAAAAATCTTGGAGATATGACGTTTCAAAGCGACATAACTTCGCCGTTGATCTTGGCATTTTCTATAGACCTACGCGAGTAACCCCTCCCTTTTTGACCGTAATCGGGCTTCATTTGGCCGAGATATAGCCATTTAAAGTTTTCCAAAAAAATGCATGTGGTTGTGGACACGATATTCACGACATAATCTCGCCATGATCAACGGCGAAGTTATGTCGCTTTGAAACGTCATATCTCCGCCGCTCTAAAAAAATCTTGGAGATATGACGTTTCAAAGCGACATAACTTCGCCGTTGATCTTGGCGGTTTCTATGGACCTCCCCGAGTAGCCCTTCCCTTTTTGACCGTAATCGGGCTTTATTTGGCCGAGATATAGCCATTTAAAGTTTTCCAAAAAAATGCATGTGGTTGTGGACACGATATTCACGACATAATCTCGCCATGATCAACGGCGAAGTTATGTCGCTTTGAAACGTCATATCTCCGCCGCTCTAAAAAAATCTTGGAGATATGACGTTTCAAAGCGACATAACTTCGCCGTTGATCTTGGCGGTTTCTACGGACCAACGCGAGTAACCCCTCCCTTTTTGACCGTAATCGGGCTTCATTTGGCCGAGATATAGCCATTTAAAGTTTTCCAAAAAAATGCATGTGGTTGTGGACACGATATTCACGACATAATCTCGCCATGGTCAACGGCGAAGTTATTTCGCTTTGAAACGTCATATCTCCGCCGCTCTAAAAAAATCTTGGAGATATGACGTTTCAAAGCGACATAACTTCGCCGTTGACCTTGGCGGTTTCTATGGACCTCCCCGAGTAGCCCTTCCCTTTTTGACCGTAATCGGGCTTTATTTGGCCGAGATATAGCCATTTAAAGTATTCTAAAAAAATTCGTGTGGTTGTGGACACGATATTTACGACATAATCTCGCCATGATCAACGGCGAAGTTATGTCGCTTTGAAACGTCATATCTCCGCCGCTCTAAAAAAATCTTGGAGATATGACGTTTCAAAGCGACATAACTTCGCCGTTGATCTTGGGGGTTTCTATGGACCTCCCCGAGTAGCCCTTCCCTTTTTGACCGTAATCGGGCTTTATTTGGCCGAGATATGACCATTTAAGGTTTTCCAAAAAAGTTCGTGTAGTTGTGGACACGATATTCACGACATAATCTCGCCATGATCAACGGCGAAGTTATGTCGCTTTGAAACGTCATATCTCCGCCGCTCTAAAAAAATCTTGGAGATATGACGTTTCAAAGCGACATAACTTCGCCGTTGATCTTGGCATTTTCTATAGAACTACGCGAGTAACCCCTCCCTTTTTGACCGTAATCGGGCTTTATTTGGCCGAGATATAGCCATTTATTTGGCCGAGATATAGCCAAAAAAAAAAATCGAGGTCGGTGCGAAAATCGAAAATGTTTCGATGCTTATTTTTTAATATCTCCGGTAATAGCTCGGCGCGGAGATATGACGTTCCAAAACGACAGAGCTCCGCGCGGTGATATGACCTTCCGATTTTTTCAAAATCGAGGTTGGTGCGAAAATCGGAACTTTTTGATGCTTTTCTTTTAATATCTCGGTTAAATAATGTCTGATTTTAAAATGTTATACCTTTTTGAATGCGTACGGATCCCTACCATCAATTGGCATTCAAACAAATTAAACATCGATGGGTTGCAAAATGTTGTAGACAAAAAACCGATTCGTTCGTAAATTCCATCTTTTTGATGATATTTTGGAATATTTCCGTCAAATAATGTCCGATTTTGCAATTTCATACCATTTTTGACTCGTAAGGATCAGTTCTATCGATAGACATCAAAAAAAGGTAATCCAAGATTTTGACCTAAATCGAAAAAATGGCAAGGGGTTATATCACTTTGTTTTTCAAAATCGAAGTCGGTGCGAAAATCGAAAATGTTGCGATGCTTTTTTTTTAATATCTCGGGTAATAGCTCGGCGCGGAGATATGACGTTCCAAAACGACAGAGCTCCGCGCGGTGATATGACCTTCCGATTTTTTCAAAATCGAGGTTGGTGCGAAATTCGGAATTTTTTCGATGCTTTTCTTTTAATATCTCGGGTTATAGCTCCGCGCGGAGATATGACCCTCAATTGGCATTCAAACAAATTAATCATCGATGGGTTGAAAAATGTTGTTGACAAGAAACCGATTTGTTCGTAAATTCCATCTTTTTGATGATTTTTTTTAATATTTCCGTCAAATAATGTCCGATTTTGCAATTTCATACCATTTTTGACTCGTAAGGATCAGTAAAGATTGGCATCAAAAAAAGGAAATCCAAAATTTTGACCCAAATTTTTTTCAAAATCGAGGTCGGTGCGCAAATCGAAACTTTTTCGATGATTATACCCTGAACCCATTAAAAATGGGTATAAGGGTATATTGTATTTGTGCAAAATCCAAATGTACGTAACAGGCAGAAGAAAGCATCTCCGACCCCATAAAGTATATATATTCTTGATCAGCACCAATAGCCGAGTCGATCTAGCCATGTCCGTCTGTCTGTCTGTCCGTCTCTCTCTCTCTCTCTGTCCGTATGTATGAACGCAAGGATCTCAGAACCTATAAGAGCTAGAGACTTGAAATGTAGGTGGTCCCGCGCAGATCGAGTTTGTTTCCGATAATCGATAACTTACTCCGTTTCCAAATCGATATCGATATCCTGTTTTTTGGGCAATTTTGGTATATAATAAGAGCTTGAGTCCCCAAACTTGACATATAGCTTCTAAAATAGAATATATACATGCATTTGATGTTGGAAGAAGAGGGCTCAGGGTATCCCCTAGTCGAGAGCTCCTGACTAGAACCTCTTACTTGTTTTATGTTCAATATGTCCCTCCAATACAAATGCTGAATATAATTTTAATATATCCCATAATCAAACAACCACTTTTTATTTATACATTTTTTATTTTATTTATGTATTTGTTAAAAATAAATGTAATACGAACTTACACATATTTTACAAGCACCACAAAGTTTATAGGCAATATTCACACTCACATTATTGGTCTGAATCTCGACGCTTTGCCTTCAAATATAAAATGTTCACATATGCTTAAATAATTATGTATGCACACAGAAATACAGAACATACTTATCTACACTTAATGATTTTCTATTTAAAAAAAAAAAAAACAACTGCATTTAATATTTTATTTCTTCTAGCATCTTTTTATTTAATTGATTCATTTACTTTTATAACCGGCAATCTACTTTGCAAATATATGTTTTCAATTGCCCCTTACAAAAATAAACTAAGTATTTTCTTCACGTCTGCGGAAACAACAACATGTATTTTGTCGAAAAGGTGGGAAAGAAAATAACAAATTTACATGAAATTCCGTACAACAATATTTATATATTATTTGATATACTATTTTATATACATAAAGCAATACGAATAAGAATCAAAAAAACAAAACTATAGCTCCCTTTCATTTTGATACTTTTAGATTGCATCACTTTGTAAGCGACAATGGGTCACCGATCTTAGACCCGAAAGCCAACTGACAGGGCTACAGGGATTATATATGTACACTGAAAATGTAATAACGTGAGTGGCAGTATTAGTTTTAGTACTTCAGATCTAAGCATACGGTATTTCGTAGTCGAGCATTGTTTCTTGCTACATGGCGATAAGAATTGTTTGCTTGCTAAGGTGATAAGGCAAAAGCCAAAAGAGCACTGCCTGAAAAATTGATAGGGACTGCAGTTCAATTGTATTATTCACCCAAAGCACTTCATTTTAAAAAGGCTTGTAAAACTTACTAATCTGGTATATTTGTGTAACCTAATTTGCTTTTAAGCATGTGTGTATACCGCAGCCACGTTAAAACGTAAATTAACAACAAAAAATAAGTCATTCAGTGGACTTAATTCATTTAATATAGTTGACATGATATGTGCATACATTTAGTGACAGAAAACTCTAAGATGACGTATAAACATTTAAAATAGCGTCTGATTATTTTTAGCCGTGGTTTTTTTATTTTTTAGAATGGATTAATGTCCGACCTCATAAAATATATATATTCTTGCTCAATATTAACAGCCGAATTGATATAGCCATATCCTTATGCTTGACTATATTTTTGCTTTGATATCTTGATCTAGATATCTTGACCAAACTGGGCATTTATTTGTTTCTCTATAGCCGCCATACGAACGATCTTTAGAAAAATACGATCTCCCATGAAAAGATATCTGGACTAAACTATAAAATCGAACATATGCACAAATACGATCGATCAAAAGTTTAACGGTATGAAATTAAAAAAAATATTAAAATACAAAAGCAAAATATTTCTGCTACTGGATCGAAACGGACTAATTGCTCTCGCATGAACGGGCCAAGACATCGATGATTTTATACAAACTCGTATAGCGCCGGCACCAGGAGGACCTACTCTCTTAAGCTCTTAAAGGTTCTGAGCTCGACGAGTTCATACATACGAAAAGACGGACGGACAGACCGGTGGATTTGGCTACATTCATGCTGATCAAGAATATACAAGCTTTACTTAATTTGCGCTGTGTAGAGAAAAGCTAGAATTTTTCTGATGGCCACTCACCTCGGTGTTCAGGGAATATCCTAATTCGGCTGTGCCAACTAAAGCGAGCTTAACTTGACTTATTTTACAGGTTGAAAACAAATAAGTCTGCACAATCGAACCAATAGAATTGCTACTGCAAAATGTATTAACTAAAGACACAATTGTGAAGCAGTATACTAAGACAGAAAGTCAGTTATTTAACAATACATAACATACTTCTTGATCTGGGAACAGCGTATTGCACATTCGACTGTATCCGAAAAGGTACGTACTTGTTTTATACTCATTTCCATTTAATGATATATATGATTTGAACATCATTTGGCAATCACGCCAACAGATCGATAAATATATTAATATTTTTTGTATTTATGTATATTTAACAGGACCTAAGCGTACGATATTTTCTGTCAATTAGCTATGTATATACTGCTTGCTGCCCATTCCTAAATAGAAGTAAAACATGACCTATAAATGCAATTATCGTTCCCGGTGCAATACAATTGCACTTTTTACGCTTTTGCATATCGGCCAAAAACTAAAAGGAAACGATGCTAGTGTACAGTTTCATCAGCAGTCAGTCGACAACAAATATAACATAACTGAGACATTTCAAGATGAAATGGAACAAATGGATTCACCAAAGGACCAAAAGCTTATCGTACGGTTGCCATCCAACACACTTCTCAAGTACACCTCCTATAAAGATGTTTCTATACTTCACTTTCGAGTTCCATCAGATTCGCGAGCTGCGTACTTTAGTTTTAAAGGGTTCGAAGAATCAAAGAGTGCCTTTCGTAAGTAAACAATACATGCAATTTAATAAAAAACTATGATTTACAATACAAATATTTGCAGAAAGAAAATGCAAGCCTAAGGATGTTACTCTTCATTTAAAGGCTAACAGTTTTCCTGTAATAAGTCCCGAAAATATTACTTTTCCAAAGAATTTTTTAATCTCCGACGAAAGGTAAGTGTTGCACCTCAAATTGATTATTTATTCTTATAAGTTATTAAATCAGGTTAAGATAGTACTTTTCTTGTTTATTATTAGGTATTCTGAGCAACAAACAAGCAAAAGAATCAAATAATCTTTATATTCGTAGCAAAAAATAGTAGTGGAGAGCGCCCGACTTGGGGTTCCCTTAACCTAAACCTAAACCTTAAAATTTGTTTTTAACTATTAGGGCATTAACAAAACATTTTAAATAAAAATTCTGTTCCGTCTGCTGGTGTCGAACTTGGAAGTACCTTTAATCGACCGAACTATTTTCCATCGGGTCATACCTTATAATAAAATGAAATATATATAACCCTATACCAAGAAAATAATTTGTAGTTAAAAAACATCCAAGAGGCTCTACCCTCGCGCTACGAGCGCGCTTCCTTAAGCAGTACTAAAACAAGAAAGAAGGACTATCTTCGGCATGCCGAAAATTTAATACCCTTGCAGACCTAATCTTTTCAAATAGCTCAAAACACTTTGACAGTATCTAAGAATCACAGGGAAAATAGTTAATTTTCGACCGATCGACATTTTAAACTTATTTTGCTAATTGTTATTCCATATTTTCAGATTCAAAGTATATAACCTGGAGTTTATGTCTGATCAGACGAAACATCGCATTGATATACAGAGTCCTCAAATAGGAAGTTGGTTTGCAGTTGCTTTCGTCAGTTGGACAGATCCAAATAATGAGCGCATTGAACAGCAGGGTAATACAGTTTTTAACAATTTTTTTTTTTTAATAGTTGAAGTTGAATTACTTACCTGAAGTGAGTCGGTCGGTTTTAAGAGTTATCTGGCCCCTGGTGATGGAGACTGTTGAATTTTTCTCAATGGACTTCATTGCTTATTTTGAGCAGTACATATAGCAGCAGAAAGGTAATTGAGAAGACAGTGGGGAAGCAAGGAGACATATGGGCGCTGTATCCCGTCTAGCTTTCTGTTGATTGAAAGGCAGAGCGGACCAACTAGTATATATATTTTAGGTCGTATTTATATAGTCTAAATGTTTTATGGGGCGAGGCGGCGAGATTCAATCTGTGACTAAAAGAAATATCGATCCCTATGGGAAGGAGCTGGTATATTCGATTCTTGCCCGTCCCATATTTTTCTTCTATTCTTCGACTATAAATATCTACCGTGAAAATTCTTAAAACTAATTGTAGAACTCCATATCTCAAGTTATCTTGTGCATACATATTTGAAAAACAATTTGGAAGACATACAAAGAATTAAGAACCACACTTGTTTCCGCTCTTACTGTGAAGCTTGCAAAAGCAAAATAAACTCTCGTTTGAAAACCCGCATCTTAAAAAATGAGTTTAAAGCATAAGCATTGTACTTAAAGATATAAATTTTATTTGACAGATTTTTTTATTTTAGGTCTTTCTTCGTCATGCGATACGTTGCTTTTGGCGGAACTGTCTGTATTACGTTTCTACCCAAGCATTATAAATAGCGGACAAGTGACAACTGGCAGTCTAACCAGTTCGTTTATCAATTACAAGCATAAGATACACAGCGCTAGTAACAGCACCAGCAAAAGACGCACACCCACAGACAACGAGACACCTGCCAAAGACAGTGATAAAAATGATGGGAACAATATGCCACAGCGTGCAAGAATTTTAAAGCAGCATGAAAAGCATCTGCAAGAATTGAGTAGCCCAACTAAAAATACTTCTTATACGCTAAGCAAATCCAGTTCAAATAACAATGACTGTAAGAGTAATGCCGCTAAGCTTGCAACTAATAATGAACAAATTTACAAGTTCTATGTGCCAGATAACATCGGTGTAGCTACCGCGCGACTAGCGTTCGCTGAAGTGTGTGTGGATTGTCCGGACATCAGCTTCGTTACTCAGGCAAACGCGTTTCCACAAATCTGCAGAGAAGGGCAAGGTTTGGCCGGAAACGAATATAACTATCTCCACAGAACAGTTATCAAACCAAATCAGACTGAAGAAATCTCAATTCAATTTTATGTTCAGCCTAATACATGGCACTATGCCCTTCTAAATTTTGTCAGCTCTGCAGATGACTATCGGATGGCTTCAAATAATGAATATATGACGACATTAAGCCTTATGAAACCTAAATTGAGTCAACAAAATGGAACAAATAATTTCAACTCGGCAGCGTACAACGTTTCGTATACACTACAGATCGATTTTGAAGAGCTAAATATACACAATGAATCTTGTAAGACCCAGCCTCAGGCAAAAAATGGGTGTAAGAATAATTGGCAACCAGTGCGCATTCGCGGAATAAATTTCTATCCCCTCCTGCGTCAGAGCTATCATGAATTTTTTATGTTTGATTATGACTTAGAGCCGGATGAAAACGGTACAGTTCCTGCATTACTTAACCTAACAGCCCATTATTCAGCAGGATTTGCCTTTGAGCTGGGCGAGGTATACGATATTGGCGGAACGCTCACATTTGCCGTGTCCATGAAGCCCGAGCTTCGCTTCAGCAGCGACATAAAGCCAATATCACCTACGACGTCGCCACCATTAGAAAGGGGTGGAATTTTAGCTGAGAAGCTTGTGAGCACATTGGAGGACGCAGGACGTGTGATGGGCCATGAGCAGCTACCCCGCGGCAACCAAAGTATGCAAATCATTGTGTGCATGCATCTTGGCGTCCCAGGCATTCCTACATGGCCCGATAAATGTCGATATGGTGAAAGACTGCTGCCAGCTTCTACCATAATCAATAATACTGATATAATGGGTCTAATACATGTGCCCTTCCCAGAAAGTGGCCTCTGGTAAGTGCAAATCATTAGCAAGAACGTTGCAGTCAGATGCAGCCAACAACAAAATAATCAATGCGTTTGTGACTCTAAAACTGTAGTCAAAGTTCAAAGTGTTATTGAAAATTTTAGTTTTGAAAATGTGCGAGATATACATTATCGCGCTTCAAAATTTTGACTAATATCAAAATGTTTGACTTAGGGCGCAAGGGCAAATAGCAATTTTTTTGGGTTTATGTGAGGAAGAAATATTTCATAGAATTACGAAAGGCATGTTTGTCGGTTAAACGGTAGCTTGGTACGTTGGAAAGCAAAAATTTAAACAAAATGGTTCAACTTGAAAAACAATTACACTACTTATTATGTACGGTCGTTATACCCTCACAGTAGCATTGTAATTCTATTAAACGTGTAACATATATAAGGTCCGATTCCATACTGTATATTTATACACTGAACCCATTAAAAATGGGTAAAAAGGGTATAATGTTTTGTGCAAATGTCGGGACGATTTTATTGTTTATTCAATGGGTATTGGCCGATGACAATTTTGTAAAAAATGTAAATTTACTATTCCTAAAGCATAGATATTACAATTTTCAGTATTGATTTAATTCGTTTTTTTTTTTTTACGTACATCTATAGGTTTGTCACTATGGGCTTGTATTGCCACGGAGCAGAAACAGCGCGTGTTACTATCATTGACAGCGTCAAGGACTTTGTGCGACAACACGAGAATTTGCTTCATGAAATGCGCAATCCCTGTGCTTGTGCTGGAAATGCCAAGCGCTATGCAGCTTGCGTTGGGTCGAAAGATTGCTTGGCCGGTATGAACGAAACTGAGACGCTAAAAGTAAAGGAGTGCATGATGGACTCTAAGTGTACCACCGACTATTTGGAAATGACGCACCTCTTTGGAGTACATCACAGATCGGCAACGGAACAGCAGTTTGCGCTAGATAACTGCAACACCTCGGTGGTTTTCTCAATATCATCGAGTCCCTGTGTAGCAGGGCGTTGTGGTCGCTTTGGCCGCTGTTATCATTACATGTCGGGAGGTTTTGTATTTTCAACATGCATTTGTAATAAGGGATACCGCGGCTGGGATTGTACTGAAAGCTCGCAGGTGCCTTCGAGTATGTCTATCCTCATGGCCTCGCTGCTACTCACTTTGAGCAACCTTCTATTTATACCAAGCATTTACTTGGCCATTCGGCGCAAATACTATACCGAAGGTGCAATATACTTTTTTGCTATGTTTTTCTCAATTTTTTATCATGCATGCGACTCAGGAGAGGAGGAATACAGTTTCTGTTTAGTAAAGATCAGCGTACTGCAATTCTGCGATTTCTATTGTGGCTTATTAGCCATTTGGGTGACACTTATTGCAATGGCCCATATTCCTCAGCAGTTTGTCTCTCTACTTAGCATGTTCGGTGCGATTCTGCTAGCTTTTGGTACAGAACTAAACAAGCAGAGCCTCTGGGTCTTTCTAGCTCCAGCTTTAACAGGCATTTCGCTCATCTCGACTAGCTGGGGTATACGCTGCGCCAAAACTCGCAAATGGTTTCCTGCTCGACGTTACCTTACTATTTTTACGCCACTCGGCATGGTACTGGTAATGATTGGTCTGGTCTGTTACGCATTTCTCCAGACCAAGCAGAACTATCATATTGTTCACTCTATTTGGCATATGGTTATGGCGCTAAGCATTATGTGTTTGTTGCCATCACGCAAAACATTCATACCTAGGCTCTAGCACTTGGACATTTTTCTTTCGGGTCAGAGGCTAGCCTGCGTTTGCTACGGCACTCCTTATTGCGCATCTAATGTGCGCCAATTTTTTAAATTTCACAAACCTCAATATATATATATATATGTAACTATATGCCATATTTAAATATGCATGCAAAGAACAATATAAATTTTTATATTGTCTTGCACATATTCTTCTAATAAAACAAATAATTTAAGTTATATAAGGTAAAAATTAGGCTTCACACCCATGCTGATTTCTAATGACACCTAAAAATATTTTACTACGTGTTCTTTCAATACTCAAGCTTTTGTTCTAAACATATACATATTACAAATTAAAGTTTAAAAGAGTTCCAGTAATATACGTTTATATATGCGTATAAGTTGTACAAAAATTGTGTGTAGTTATATATTGTAATATTAAGCCTTGAATATAGGAAGCTTAAGTTTTGTAGATTAATTATTAGTCTATTAATGACGCCTTATTAATCTTAGCAGACATGATTCCTAAAAATATTATGTATTTCTCAATCCATATACTAATAGCAAAACTATAATCATCATAAGTATTAGAAAGAATTTAAAACAGAAAAAAGGACGGCTGACGAAGAACAAATATATCTGCTATCTGCATTGATATTATATGATTTAAACTAAACAACATCGTTTTCATATAACTCATTTTATATTGTCTTTGGGCAATATAATTTGAGCAACATTGAGCTTATACTTGGCTAAAAAATAAGTGTTAGATATATATAAGAAACATAATTTTCCTTATACTTACCAATATATTTTACTACGTCTTCTTTCAGTACTCTTAAGCTGGCTCTTTAGACATATACACATAACATGATTTCTTGTTAACACAAATTTTTTAGCTCAAAAGAGTTCCAGCAAAATATGTACATATGTGTATAATATACTTTTTTTTAATGTTCGACCAAACGCGAGTATGTAACACATTATAGTAAAAAAATTAAAAGCTGAAAGCCTAAACAGCCTAAAGAAACCTAAAAATAAGCTTAATTGATTTTAATTTAGATAGAAATAAATAAAATAAATGGATAAAAATGTATTATTTCAAAGAAATAAGATGACTAGATATCAATAAGGAATTGAAGAAAATAAAAAGAGCGGAAGTGCAAAAGCTATGAAATGTTTGTATCCATTTGCTATTTTCGCTAGCTGCCGCAAACAAGTGATCTGTTAATATATAATGAGGGCATACATTGTTGGGTAATTCCAATTGTTTTTTAATTTTATATATAGCTATGGGGTGGAACCGAAGGATTTGCGATAGCTATAAAATTATAGATACTTGATTTTTATGTACTAGCTCTTTAAAACAGGCTTTCTTGAAACCTTAGAAGATTTCGACGTTCATATACATATATATATATATATATACATATATAGGTCTTACAGGTTCTCAGATCGAAGCATTCGTACATGGGGACAGCCAGAAATGGTTAGATCGATCCTTATGCCTGTTGCATTTGCACAAAACCATTATACAAATGTACATTTGTATTTTGAATATCTCCAATAAACTTCGGTAAATGTAAATGTTGTTATTTTGTTGATGCGGCTGTCTAAAACGAAAATAAATTTGATTTATATTATTAACATTTTACATTTTGAAGAATTATATATGTTACCAAAACTGCATTTTTAACATTTAGTCACATGTCGTTTTTTTATTCTTTTGATTAGGTGATCGTTTTTGAATTAATGGAAATTCCAATCAATAATCGCCAATCTAAGAAGGTTTTAATGCTAATTATGTAGATTTGGGCTCCGAGAGGGGATATTATCGCACACTCCCAAAGCCGTAGCGAATTTCGTTTTCAAATTGTTCCGCCTTCAGCGTGCCGTCTATACTTTCACAATTTTTGTTAAAAATACTGTAGGCACTTATTTCATTGGATTTCTTTGGGCCAGTTCTTGTGTTGAAATATATTCCAAATAATGCAGATAACATTAAAAAGACCATCCCAAACTTTAGCTCAATTGCTATCACGTACAATGTAACCCAAAACAGAAAATATACAGTCCAAAGTGTGTATTTCAAACATTTACTCTCGTTGCCGACGTTCGTGTTCAGGTTTTCCTCTGACAATTGATCATCCTCACTTGATGAGACGTATTCATCAATCGTTTCATTGACTTTAGAAGATTCAGCATACACGGTTTTGATTGGCTAAAAACGGAAGAGGTAAAACTAAATTGTTATCGTTTAAACATATGTATATGCATACATATGAATGTCAAATGCCACATATTATACCTTAATGTCGATAGATGTTTGACATTTTCCCTGAACTTGGTCTTCACCCGTGCCTAGCATCCAAAATTTTTTAATTTTCGATTTAAAGTTATTTAATAATTCTCTTTTTTGCTTTTGTTTTCGGTATTTTATCAATTGCTCTTGAAAATCGGCCATCAATGGAATTTCTGTTGTTAATGCTATGAAAATAATTTAGAGATGTGCATGGACTGTCACAAGAACTGCGACCCTGAATCTGAAAATAACAGCCGCTATACTATGGTATTTTTTGTCGTAGGTACTTTTGAAATTGGTACCTAGTAACTAGTTTCTTTTCAATACTAGTTACGTGTTATGTCCTTGTCTTATAACAATGTAGTTACAATATATATTCCTCGTTTTAGTCACCTGTTACGGGCAGCAATACAAAAATAAATACCTCCTCAAACAAAACAAAAAAGAAAATATATCGATATCGTGGGGTGCGCGACTATCGGAGCCACTAGTTCCTTTATACCGTGAACACATTGAAAATGGGTAAAAGGGGTATTAAGTATTTGTGCAAATGTATGTAACATGCAGAAGGAAGCAACCCCGACTCGATAATATATTCTTGATCAGCCTCAATAGCCGGGGCCATCTAGCTATGTCCGTCTGTGTATACATCCGTCTGTCCGCATGTATGAACCTATAAGAGCTAGAGAAATTTTAGCTGTGGGTTTTTATTTCCCATAATCGATAACATCCGGTTATTTTAGAAAATTGGGTTAATATAAATCAAGTATATATCAAATATCTTTGATTTTATCCCATCTCCCCGTTACCACCGCAGAGCTATAAATGAAGTTAATAACCCAACTTATATTGCCCACCAGCTTAAGACACAATGTTAGGTAGAGACAATGGCAAGTAGTGCGGTCAGTTGCGAGTTCGAACCCTGCAAAGGTAACTTTTTTTTTAAATTTATCTTTATTACTTCAAACAATCGCGTAGCGCGAGCTGTATTTGGTACTGATGAAAAGTATATCCAGCTTATGCTTTGAGCGGACAATCGACTCACCTAAGTATGTCACTCTAGTCGCAATTCATGTGATTGAACTTTCAAAAACTAAGTGGATTAATTTATTTACCAGTATTTTATACACTGACATTTCGAAACACTTTAGTCATACTAAAGTAAGGGAATTTCTGCGCATTATTTTTCTGCATATTATTTATTACAAACAATACACTTATCTTATAAATAATTTACTCTTTGAATCCGTCAAGAAATCTCCGTATGCTACGTTCTGATTTAATAGACGTGTTATCCTTTACATTGGTAAGAGATAGGCCAAAAATGCACAAACTGGAAAAATAAGTATAAAATATTATTATATTAATTATCCTTGCAGAAATATGACGTAGAAGTCTTTGTTTGCTGGAACCCAGCATTGCGTTAATATTATATTAAGGGTATATATTAAGGGTACTTATGTTTTAGTTTTACTACATATTAACTTACCCAGAATGAATCCAGAAAATACTTCAAATGTTATATGGCAGTACGTTTCGAGAAGTATTCCAATGATGTTGCTGCCAAAAACGCTTCCCATGCGCCCCAGCATCAAGCAGATGCAAACCGCTTTGCCTCTTAATTTAGTGGGGACTAGATCTACCACGGCACCACTTAAAACCGATACACACAAGCCTGGTAATACCAGGTACAAGCAGAAGCAAATTATAATGATAACTTCGTTTTTTATCCACACTAATGAAATTGCACAACCAGCAGCTATTGCCAAACCCATTGTGATTGCTGCTTTGCGCCCAATCTGATTAATAACAAAGCCCATTAAAATATATCCCATAGTTAAGGCTGTACCGTAGGTAATCGTGTCAATATAGCTCTTAGTATTTATTTCATCAACGCAAATCTGTAAAAAATTAAATATATTATAGTCTTTTGCCACTGACTAACAACTAGAAAGAAAAGATAGCCACACAATTCCTGTGAATCGGGTGTTACATCGATCTTGTTTTTGATCGGGTCCATAACTCGTTCCCTCAGAGCCCAAGAGAGAGCCGAATGCTTTGTGAAATACTTAGAAATGCATCGCTATTTTTATTTTCCTCCCACTCTACAAAACTGATTTGGCTAAGTGTTATTGCTGTCAATGCTCTCTCATTAATGTCTAAAGATTTTAAAATGTCTGTGTGGATATCTTTTCTGTTCTAGCTGTCCCATCTATATGTTGTATGGTTAGTGGTATTGCTCACGAGTTCATACAGTTGTTGTTTGGTTTAGTTTCGACTGATTAACTGAGGCATCGATCACATCACAAACGGTCATAGCGTCGTCAGCAATGGACGATCCCAAACGATTTAGTATTTCTGGATACCACAAGCCCATACCCGATGAACTGAAAATTAAATTGATATCAGTGAAAAGTCAAAGTTAATTGCATATATGACCCACCTAAAGAACAGACCACACATAACAGTACAGCTTATGCTAAAGTTTTTTAAATGCGGTCTTCTTAGCAGTGGTACAGTTTCTTTCCACATTTTTTTAAAAGAGACCGTTCTAGGGGATAAAAAGAATGGTTGATTAAAATTAGGCATTTCGAAACTTAATACTTACGGTGAGTTGGAAACACTCAGAACATTTTCTCTGTCAGTGAATATATCATATTTTAATTTATGAACGTTCAAATCTTGAAGTCGTTTGCCAACATTTTTTAAAGCGATCCACTCTACGGCGGCAAACGCATCTTCAATTTTTCCAATTGATAATAAAATTTTGGGACTGTCAGGCATTTTTAATAACATTACCGTTCCTATCACTCCAGGAAGTAGATTAAAGACTGTCAACAAACGCCAAGGACGGAATGAAAAACTTTCAGTGAGACTTATACTCCAGTTCATTGACATTACAAGCCACGCTACAGCTTAAAAATAAAATTGAATTTTTATTAGATTATATGATTTTTACATAATTTAATAAAAATAGTTACCAGGTACATAAATTGTAGATATGCCCACAAAAAAACTTGCATAATTTATTACTATCGGTCGATGACGTACAGTAAAAAATTCCCCAAGATATGCATATGTAGTGGAAGATGCACCTGCTATACTGTTAATAAAATAATAAATGGTTTTATACCCTTGTATAAAGTAATTTAATTTATTTTCACGAAATTTAAGGTATTCAAAAAGTAAATTATTCAGGATTTTTGAATACGATAAAAGAATCGCTTGGATCGCTTAAAATCTAAGATGCATGCTCAAGAAAAATAGGATTTCGATATTGATTTTATCGTTTACTTGAAAACGGGGCAAGTTGTCGATGCTGATCAAGAATATATATACTTTATAAGGAGATGCTTATTTAAATTCTTTAGCTCTTATAAGTTCTGAATTAAACACGTTCATACATATCGTTCATACATGGCGGACAAAGCAGATTGCATAGCTAGATTGAACATATACCCTTTACGGAATCGCAGATGCTTTCTTCTGCCGGTTTTTTGTTACCTATTTTCAATTTACTTAAAGTAAGCAGAGTAAGTAGAAGCAAACAAAGTTAGTATGGGCGATTCCGGGGAAACTATAAAAACCAGCATATTGAATAACGGAGTAATAGCTACATCATATTTTTTATAAAGTGTATGACAAAATTCATTGTTAATTATACCGGCTTAAGAATGAACATACTTACAAAAATCCGACGAAAAATCGTGCAACCACATAAATCCAGAAATTAGGAATTAATATTGAAATTAACGACAGGAGATTTCCAGCAAATGTGGTATATATTAATACTGGCTTACGTCCAATTGAATCACTAAGATAACCCCAGAAATATGAAGAACAAAATATTCCTGCAAAAAACAAATGTTAATAGTGAACTTACAAATGCCGAATTAGGTCTAGATATATCGAAAAACAACAAAAAACCGTCCGTCTCCGACATATATACTGTCTGAAATGGGAAGGCGGACCTATGAAAAGTTTCGAGATGTATCGTTTTAAAACTGATAGACTTATTTGCATAGAAACAGACAGTCAGACATGACAATATCAATTTGGTTGCTGATGCTGATCTAGAATATATATATATAGGCTCGGAAAAGTCTTCTTATATGTGTCGCAAATTTCATGACACAATTATAATCCTCTCTACAGGGGTGTAAAAAGGACTTCTCTTTGTTTTGCTGAGCATAGCGAGCATTGGTATTATAAAATTGAATTCGCGTTTCTTGCAATATGTCATGTGTATGGCATTTATGGAGCTCCTAATACTTCCACCTGCCCATAAAAATTATTCCCTTCCGCTGAGATAGGACCATTAATTGCGCACAATACTGGACTGAAAATGGAGTACACGCCTCGTATAGCTTAAAAACCCTTTGGCTTCATATATCAAAACGGCATTTCTTAGTCAATTGCCAATGTGGCTCTTTAAAAACAGCTGATTTATTTGGGAACGTTTGCTTTAGCACTTACGGGTTGGGCTGTACGTTGATCACCAATCGTCAGCCAGTCAGGGCTTCGATCTCAAAATTTTTTCCAAATAGGATGTGTTTACAATACTAGTACTCCTATATATTCTAAAGCGTGGGAGACATTCAAAAATGGTATCCGTTACACACACTCGTAGTGTCTAATTATGATAAATTATGTCTGCTTAGCCTGATATGCCTCTACTAAACTAATAATAAACGCAAATAATAAGAGACCGTTATAAATTATTTTTTATCGGTCCTTCGTGACGGCAGCTCCATAATCTACTTTTTATATGATAAGCATTTTTGAATGGATGAGAGATAATGTTCTATATTCATTCAAACGAGCGTCTATTTTCAATTCTATAAATTGAATTGAAATTGCAATTTTATTTTAATTAAATAGGTTTTCTAAAATTTAACACTTTGTATGGCTATGAGGCATAAGGCAATAGCAAGAAGTTTGGTCGGTTCAAGATAGTTGCAACTTCGACACCGACTGCCTTTTTTTTCAATTAATGCTACTATTAAATAGTGTATATCGAAGGCTGCATTTGGGCTTAGGATATCCCCTAATCGAAAGCTCCCGATCTGTTTTACGTGTTTGACTAGTGAAGCGTCAAGTTTGATAATGTTATTTGTCAATTACAGACCAGCCATACGCTACTCCGTGGGAATGCTATTTCACATGTATACGCGTATACGACTATATGCCACACCGGACAGCGACTTGACATTCTTGTCACCTGCTCACTTTCTCATTGGACGATCTTTAAAGTTCTAGTTCCAGCAAGCAGTGTTTTTAAACACGGTGTCATTTTGGGGCTTTTGAGTATTTTTTAACAGCATCTTAAATATGCTGTAAAATTTCTCTACGAATATAAATAATTCTTACGAAATAAGTGTTTCTTTTGGATGTGCACCATTTACGTAAACTTACCAATAAAACTAGCTGCACTCATGATGGACTTGTCCACTGAATTTGTTCCGAATTCACACTGAGATACAATTGTAATATATGACATACCCATTGTCTCATTTATTACCAGCATTAGTAATAGACCTGAGGCAACCAGAATAGTCCATTGCACACGTCCAAATCCTTTGGCAAGTAGTTCAATTGTTAGATGAATTAGCTGCTTTGCACACTACGAAATTTGTAAATAGTTGACGTACCGATCAATTCAAGTACTTCTTCATATTCATGACCTGCACTCATCGTTTTTTCAATAGCATCGGCAGGTTTTGCTTCACTGTCTTGTTGCTTGACACGCGTAGGCATTATTAAGATGATATTAACTTCTGAACAAATGAGCTATCATTACCAAACTTGCTTTAAAGTGCTACTGTTACAGCGCGATGCGGTCGTGAGCATATATAGATTGCTACGTTCGTTTTAAATGCTTTCCTAAGAGTCAACATTGAAAGTTGGGTTATCAGTGCACAATAAAGATAAATAAGTCTAGGGATGACATTTAGTTAATTTATTTAATGAGTATGGCCGCAGTCTGAATCTGAAATGTAAAAACATCCTCCCATCTAGTTTCATTTATTAATTCATTAAAGCAGATTGCTGTTTTTCACAATTACATGTTTGTGTTCATGTTCAGCACACACAAATTCAAATATAGATACTCTTGAAGCTTTGTAAAACATTTCAAATGCACGACTCTGCGGTAAAAGCTTTGTACATTTAGTAGTATGTTCAGGCAAACATATGTGAACGTCAGTGCCTGCTCATAATATACTTACATACATACATATGTGATTGTGATAGTAGATAGGTTTCATTCTTAGCGAACAAGTGCTGGTGACATCATCTGATTTACATGATGTTGCTGTGGGTTGAAACTGGTCCACACCCATTTACATTTGAGTTCTTTCATAAAAAATATTTAAGACTTTTATGACGCCTCGTAATTTCAAGTGTGAAAAAAAAAGTAATCAGCATGTGAGGCGTATAAATAAAAATAGTCATAAACAAGGCTGGCTTATTGGGGCGTTCGTAGAGCTATTTACATTTGTGGACTCTTAGTAAGTAGCGTTCTGCTACTGTTCTTTTAACCTCCTTTATGCACAGTGAGAATAAATCAACAATTTCGTACCACTTTTCATATCAAGTAAAATCTGTCATAAAAGAAGGCTAATCTTGACTCAACTCTACAACTCTTCTCCCAAATGACCTTGCTAAAATAAATAAAATTTTGAAAAAGGTACACATGTCTTGAGGTAGGCCCATATTGAACGTGAATTCCGACTCCATAAAGTAAATATATTCTTACTAAGCATCAATAGTCGAGTATATATATCCATGTCCGCATGTTTATCCGTCCAGCCGTTTTATAAAAGCGTCGGTGTCGGAAACCAATTGAGCTAGAGACCAGATCAATTTTGAACGTAGTCTTCGTAGTGACGGCGCAGTAAGAGTTTGTTTTAAATTAATTTTGTTTGAATTTAAATAAAAAGCCCAAAAGTAGGCAATGAAAATCTAGTTAAGGTCTTGTACTCTTCTTACTCTGATAAGAAAATAATGGTAATAGTGTTTAAATAAAACAGTACCAATTTTTATATTTGTTTTCTTAAATATTTTGTTCCCTCATTATCCCGCAGATTTTTGAAAGACCAAGTTTTTTTATTGGTATGAAAACATTTTCGTATGAAACTATTTCTTTGGTTATTCAACATATATTGATCAAATCGGGCAACTATGTATATCATATACATATCTGCCATTGGAACGATCGGTCGAAAATTAAGGTGTTCTATGAAAAACTTGTTGTTTTTCGATGTATTTAAATCAAACAGGAACGATTGGTAGAAAATTAGATATCATAGCCGTACTCGCCATTAGCGATTTTCCCTGTTCTTCTTAGATAAGAGCAAAGAATTATGAAAAGGTCATCATTCGGTCATCTTTCTCATTATGCGCTGAAATAGAAATAAAAAAGTAACAAATAAGTACGGATATCTTCGTCGAAGATTTAATAAAACTTAATTGAAGTTAATTCTCGACCGATCGTAAAGGCAAGAAGTTAAATGAAACTAATAAACGGCGAGGTTAGTCAAAATATAGATTTATAAGCTCTCTAAGCAAGTGAGCGACCTGATCTATTACCTACTTATTTGTTCTCTAGCTGTCCCACCTACATACATATATGTTGTGTGGTTAGTGGGTCTGCATTGTTTGAACGACGGAGAAACCGCAACAAACTTAGCGGCTTTATATGATTGTCTCTTCCTATGCACGTATTTTCCTATGACCCGAAGCTCGTTCACAAATATCTTGACGAAGAAAACAAAACCGGGTTTCATGCGCACTGTTTTTGTTTTGCAAATTGATTTGTAGAGTATACACAGATTACGAATATTCCTCCTCTACGATGCCTCTTTGAGCTAATTTGAATTACTTTAAATCTTACTCAAACGTATTTCTATGTTGCATTGTATATCTTGTTCAAAGATTCTCAGCAAGGGAATTTTACATTTTGAATTATAACACATTAACAATTTATATAGCTCTCTTTAAAAAGACTTTATTATGATATTTAATCTCAAAACAAGTTTTGGTTTACTCAAGCGACTGATTTGATATTAAATCTCACAGCTGTGGCTTGAGTGGACTTTTAAATCGTGAATGTGATGCATTTGTATGAAACACTTATAAGGTGTGGCTGTTTTTAGTATAGTTATCAGTTGAATGTTCGCTCTCGGAACGTCAATATGCAGTACCCTAATGGTGATACCATAGCTCCAAATTCATTGGAATATGATGAAGTTTTGGAGAAGATAGGTAAGCCACCAAGATATTGCTTGTAGAGCATTCAAACAACTCCTATCTATTGATTTAGGTTACGGCAAGACGCAATGGGTACTACTTCTAATGAGTGGCCTTTTAACAATTACTTCTGTGGCTGCTCAACAATCAATGAGTATTATTGTTCTCGCATCCCACTGCGAATTCAAGACAACAGAAGCCGAAAAGGGCGTCATGATGGCGGCATGTGTAACTGGTAAGTCGTGAACTAATTTGCCTTGGAAAGCAGTTTTAATTTAAATAATCATTTAAATAATCAAGTTCGGAATAGCTGTTTCGAATGGATTTTCAAGCCCTCGTTTTATTAGCAAACAACACGAAATTTAGAATGTATGTGCTTGTAAAGTATAAAAAAAAGGAGTTTTTCGGATGTTTGCCATTACACTGCTGTAAGTATTAATACACGGTATATTTCTATTTATAGGTGTTTTTCTCTCAACCTATATATGGGGATATGTCAGCGACGCTATTGGACGACGTACAGTTTTACTATACGGAATTTTTATAAGTAGTGGCCTTTTATTTATTCTAATGTTTGTAACAAGCGTTTGGCTTTTTAACATTATTAATTTGCTTTCTGGTATCAGGTAAGTCAAATGTATGTAAAGTAAATTATCTTCGTTGAAATTAATTTACTTCAAAAAATTAAATTGCCAATTTTGTCAATGATTATTTTGTTGATAGTTCCAAGCATGTCGAAACTATTCGACAATCGTTTGCATTTGGCATGCACATTTAAGTAGGCGCTCGACAATCAACTGGAATCTTACTAGAAGTCCCCTTCAAAAAATTTTCATTGAATTGGATGCGACTTCTTTTCTTTGAGGTTGCATATGTGTAATTCGTTATTAGTTACGGGCGCTCATCGATGGGTACAGGGTACGCCTAGTCGGGTAGTCTAACCTTGCGCAGCTTGACATACTATTATTTTAACAATAACAATAAACTCTCAATAAATACTAATAAATTAACTTTTTACAGTCTCGGCGGTGTCTCAGCGGCAATTTACCCTTACTTGAGTGAATTTAACATACCTCGCCACAGAGCAGTTGCGATAAATTATTCGACAATGTTTGTCAGTGTGACTGCAATCTATGTCCCAGGTAATTTTTTAATTGAATATTAAACGGTCATTTTAATAAATTCTTAAAATCAATAAATCTTAAGAAGCGATTCTGCAAAGTTGTGCGATTGCCATTGTTGTTTAGAAGTTCCAGCCAATAGAAATACATTTCTGATTAATTTAACCCGTGAGCCATTGTATATAAAAAAATAACAGTAAGAGGCTCTTGTCGGGAGCTCCCGTCTTGGTTACCCTAAACCCTCTTCTTTAAACTTAAATGAAGTTTAACAGTTGTAAAAGTGGAGCCTTTATATCGACGATTGCACGTGAACGAATAGGCTAAACAACTTAAACCTAAATAGTATTTCCTATCTGTGGAGTAAACGCCAATATGTAAAATCTTCATATCGATACTATGGATCCCTTAAACGATGGTCTAAAGAGTTTAACGATCCTTTTATAACGAAACTTCTGTACATCTCTCTTGTTCGCCCTATTCTTGAATACTGTTCTTGCATCGGGTGTCCGCAGTATAATAATAGTCAGGATCGTATTGAATCTGTTCAAAAGCAATTTATGCTTTTTGCCTTACGAGGTTCAAATTGGGAACTTAATCTCCTATAGTGGTCCGATCCGACTGCCCGAAACAGCAAGCCAAACCTAACCAAAATTTAAAATCGAATACTTCACGGATAATATTATGTCAATTGTCCATGTGCTTTGATCTACTTAGCATGGTAGGCAGGTTTCTTGGACAAGCTCTGTACAATTAAGTTCTTAATGTTCCTATCCCATTTCCACAGCCGATCTCAATTTATATATTTGATTATATTTATATATTTAATTATTTCGTTGACAGCGACCGCTTGGGCCATATTATCGTCGGACTGGTCTATTCATATACTTGGAGACTTTATTTTTCGACCATGGCGTTTAATAATGCTGTTCAGTCTATTACCCGGAGTTATTGGAGGACTACTACTTATATATTATCCCGAAAGCCCCAAATTTCTGCTGTCTGAAAATAAAGAACACCAGGCACTAATCGCTGTAGATTGGATCAGTAAATTTAATCGTGGATTACCAATTACTCGCGTTCTTAATTGTAATGAATTTACACTAAAGCCGGAAATACAGTATGAAGAAAACGTATTGTCGAATCACAAAGGTTGGCATATTTTGACAAACATCGCACGTGCTACCCGTCCTTTGTTTCAAAAGCCACATGGATTAAACTTTGTATTATGCAACTTGGCTATCGTTTGTTTGTTTTTCAGGTAAGATAATAAGTGAGAAATAACTGTGTTTTTATTAGATTCGAAGTTAAAAGCACGCAAAAACAAGAAAATCTAAAAAAAGAAAACTCATTCAATAGGACTTAAACTATTAACAGATAATAGTTAATAATAGTTAATGTTAATGCCGAAGATAATAAAACTTATAAGTGCCCAATTTGGTCAAGTTATCTTGAGAAACAAAAAAGCTACATATATAAATAGTAGTCCGATGTTGATAGGATTGATTATATATGAGGAGCATGGGAAAACAAATAAATGCCAAGTTTTGTCAAGATATCTTGATAAATAAAAAGGTTTTATATACCAGAACCTACTTTTAGACCGATCGTTCTTATGGCAGCTATATGATATGGTAGTCCGACCCAGCCTGTTCAGACATATTTTCTGCATGCAATAGAAAGAGCGACGTATGCAAACTTTCACGACGAAAGTTTTAAGACTGAGAGACTAGTTCGCATAGACAAACGGGCATGGCTAGATGCTGATCAAGAATATATACACTTTCTGGGGTCTAAGATTCTTACTTCTGCCTTTTAACCATTTGTAGTGGGCTCACCATCGTTCTGCTTTAAAAGAAAATATATATATAGGAGTTAGTATAAAATATCATCTGTTTATATAAAATATCATCATATAATCATCTGTTTTCAGCTCAAACGGAATGCAGTTTTGGTTTCCAGAAATCGTTAACCGATCATCCAACGAAGAAAATCAAAACTCAACAGTTTGTCAAATATTAGACAGCTCCTATGTTGAACAAAATAGTTCTACGAATAGCACTGTGGTAAGTTACCAACTATACCCTAGGCATTTAACGATTTTACATATTTTATTTAACTTTTAGATCTGCTCAGATGCAATATCAACTAAAACATACATTGATAATATGATCGTTGGAATAGCGTTTTTATTAGGGTTTTCAATACAAGGCACTCTATTGAATCCTCTTGGTCGTAAAAACGTTTTAATGGCCGCTCTAGTATTTTCTATTGCTAGTGGAATTTTACTGCACTTTGTTTCCAACCCCATCGCTGTACTAGTTCTATTTTGCCTTTACATCCTGTTGCCCGGATTATCGATATCCATTATGTTAGGTGCAGTCGTTGATCTGGTACCAACAAACTTAAGGTAAGAAACAAGCAAAATATGAAATCATCAATCAATACAATTAAGAATAATTAACAAAATGGTTATCGCTTTAACTTTGTGACTTGATGCTCACTTCTACTCAGAGTCTTTTTTGAGTTCATCTCGGTCACTGTATTAGCTACATATTATCAAGCGTTGTATATATATTGTACATAACAATATTTTACGTTTAGATACTTTCCCCACATTCAGAGTGTGTGCTTACGTCTTTTTCTATGTATATGGACGTTGGGCTCAGGGCTCTTCAAGTCAGCCACTCCCGGCTTACATAATATATTACATAATATATTTCCATCTGCATATATGGAAAATACATAATTTTTCTTTTATTTTAGAGGAAAAGCTGTTAGTTTGTGCATGTCATTGGGACGACTTGGTACTATTGCGGCAACTAATCTAATTGGTGTTATGTTACACCCGTATTGTAACACAACTTTTGCATTGTTTACCTTTATTCTTTTCGGTAAGTACTGCAAATGTTCCCCTTTTTTAGCAGCCCTCATGCGATACATAATCTAAGGATAACAAGAAATCAAAAGTTTCATTCGAGATACCCTCGAGTTGTACATCAGATGAAAAATGACATAATTCAATTTTTCAGTGTATTCCCTAGTCGAGAGCTCCCGACTAGAACCACTTACTTGTTTTTAATTTTATCCTTTAAGTGTGCATGACACAATTATAGTAGTTATTTTTTATAACTCATATAATATTTACAAATATATTTAATCCTTTTTTCTGTATACTTTTTTCCTTTCTTTCTTCAACTTTTATTCCAGTTTGTATTGTGATTGTGTTTCGTCTACCAATAAGGAATTCTGCATAATTCATTTAAGTTAAGAATAACCGAAAAAATATGGATACAAATAAAGTTGCTCTTGCATTAAAAAAAATACTTCGAAATTATTAAATGTTGTGAAAGCGGAGAATTGGCTGGGGCTTATATGTTGTCTCAAATTTTACTTTAACAGTTGCTTTTCATATATAATACAACCTGATCATATTTAACGAAGCAACAGTATGAATGGGGGCATTTGATAACTAACTTTTTTTTTGGCACACAGAAGTAAGTAAGTAAGAAACCTCATAATTGCTACAGGTATACATTGACTTGTTATGAGGCTTAAAAATATTATATTGGTAATTGAATTTAGAAAACCATCAAACAAAGATGCATCTACAAATGACAACATTGAATTTACACTTTTCAAACATACGACATGCAAAACTTCTAAGCGAGAAGTGAAAATTTATAATGAGTTAATTTTTTTAATTTATCTAATTTAAATTTCGTAGATGAAGTTACTGTGACGAGGCAAGGCGAATGCGCTAAATTTAATTTAAGCTCGACTTCAACTTTGTGTAGATAATATTGATCAGGCATGGTTTCTTGAAATTTGTATAATACATAGATTAAAAATTTATTTTATTCTCGTTAGTTGTTTTAAAAGCAAGACAATCCTATCAGACCCAACTGGTTAATCAAATGGAACACATATACAAAAGAGAGAGTTTAGCGTTTTATAATATATCAATGTCAATGTCAATATTAATACCTGAACAATTGTATATGTGGGACAAGTACATAAAAATATGTAAATAGCAAGTTACACTGTTCAAAATCAGCCTTAAGAAACGACGGATTCGGTATGTTGGTATTAATGCCATTATTAACTCGTGCATTGGTAGTCTGACAAACATATCCACAGAATTCAGTGCAATGAATGAATCAAACACAAAGATTAAATAAAGGGATCTGTCTCCTAAATTTCGCACTAAACAAAACTGTGATGGGTAAAGTAATATAGCCCATCAACAATCATTATGACTTAGAAGGAAAAAGTAAGTTTAGCTTCAACGGGCTTATTGCTAAAATTAAAAATTTAAAGTTACTTCAACAGATCTACACCCATGTTGGCTTTAGTACTATTTAGTTATCTCGGCTTAAAGTAGTATAACCAAAGACAATCTAAACACATTTGGTATATCTTTGATATAAATCTAGTCAATCTAAACAGTGCTGCAATACTTCAGGGCACAGAAGAGTGAGCTTGGAGCGTTAAATTAATAGCAATCGATGCCATGAAGCCGTTCTCACTTTCCTGAAAAGAAGTTTGCATTTTTTTACTCCCGACTAGAGTACACTTGTTAAATGATTTTTACTTTTAGTTTTCAAGACATTTAATTTTAAATAATTTTTCATCTAGCTAAAAATATTAGTTTCTATTAAAACCGATGCCAAAATAAATTTCATAAAATTTGATTTTAAAATTTTCAAGTAAGTTTACAGCAGATACAGTATTAATAAATAATAACTTTTAACCATTATATTGTCCAATTCTCATAAAAAATGTAATTAATTTCAATAGATATAAATAAAAAGATTTAATTTAATGTATGTCGGCAATGATCGATAACGGATTAAACAGATTATTCTTCTTCTTCGGTGTCGGCAACTTCTACATAACTTTCACCAGAATTCTCCAGTTCAATAGAAATATCTCTCATCTTTGAATTCAAATCTATGATTGTTTCCGGTTCAATGGGCTCTACAGGTGTGGTGGGCTCATCAATTAAAGGCTCTACAACATCGCCACCATCTTTTTGAAGGTATTGCAGCTCTTGAGCCACAATTTCAGCTTCTTGACGGGCAATTTCGGCCAATTCAGCAGCTTGGCGTGCAAGTTCGCTTTCACGCTCTTCCTCCGCTTGTTTTTCGATTTCGGCCAGACGATCCAACTCCTGCTCCCGCAAACGCTTTTCTTCCTCTAAGCGAATCTCCTCAGCCAAACGATCTTCTTCAGCTTTACGAGCAGCCTCTTCTGCTGCTCTTTTTTCCTCTTCTGCCCTTTGCGCAGCTTCTTCGGCCATACGGGCTTCCTCTTCAGCCTTACGTGCTGCGGCTTCTTCTGCAGCTTTGACTTCTTCTGCTGCTCTTTGAGCCGCTTCTTCAGCCAAACGAGCTTCTTCAGCATTGCGGGCTTCTTGAGCCAAACGTTCTTCTTCAGCTTTACGGGCCTCAGCTTCCTCAGCAGCTCTGGCTTCTTCTAAAGCTTTTCGTGCTGATTCTTCAGCTAAACGAGCCTCTTCAGCAAGACGGGCTTCTTTAATTAATCGTTCTGCCTTAGCAGCTTCTTCCGCAGCACGGGCTTCTTCCGCCAGGCGGAGCTGTTCCTCGGCAAAGGCCTTCTTCTCCGCTGCTTCACGTTCCTTTTTTGCTTTAGCGGCGCTGTAATTTGGCTTAACATTAAAACCAGTGAAGCCAATTATTAAGTTCTAGCTCGCTTACTTATCTTCACGATGTTTTGCTTCAGCAGCACTCTGATATCCTACTTGCTTCTTGTCTACTTCATCTAAAGCCTCTTCGTTTACAGTCAATAGACGCTCCTGACGTAGACGTTGCTTTTCCTTAGATTCGAGATCGATAGCATCTTCGAGGGGTCGGGGAGCAGAAAATTTTCTTGTGGGGCGATTTGGATCCAATTCGGCATCTGAAAGCCAAATCTCGTTATAAGAAATGTTAGGATTACAATTAAAAATAGAATTTAAATATTGTTATTTATTTATTTTTTTTTTTTATTTGTAAATATATATTTTTTATATGTATATATATTTATATACACACATATATATATATATACATATGTATGTATATCATAACCTTTAAAATTTGCATTACATTTAATAAAATAATAAAAATGTACTTACTATTTGTGATTGCAGAGATTTTGGCCTATACGTCAATAATGAAGACTTGCAGATAAAGAAAGACTCCAGTAATAGAGTAATCGTTTCGTAATTAATGAGTTTATTATTTGGAATCTTGGGGTTTAAATGTGCAAGAAATGAGATGTACATGTGAATTGTTAGAGCAAACCAAGTGAAATTTTTTTCATAAAATTAGTGTGCGCATAAATATTTTTGAACTTAAATAGACGTATATAATACATGCTACATATGTACAAGAGACTTGAAAGAGTCGTATACATCCTTTAAGTACGAGGAGAAAATCATACATATATATATTCTGACATCGACATCGATATATATATCTGACAATCAAAATAATCAGTACTATTGATTCATAGCCTACAATGCAAATATCATGTAATACGCAAAAAAAAGGTTAGTCGATGCCGAAATCTCGTAGGCTACGCATGCATATGTTACTCATTAAATCTGACATTAAATTTAATTTACCACAAACTACTTCTAGCATTATTAACCACATCTATAACCATCCTAATACTATAAATAAACTATAAAATAATAATACAAGATCGCCTCAGAGCATTTACAAATTATATTAATGGATTGAACTTCTGAAAGTTTAATAGCCTTCAGGTTCAGCCACAGCCATTGCCATCATTCCTGGGCATCAGTTTTGATTTAGAGGAGGGCACGAAATCCACGCTTGCAGCAGTGCCACAAAAATGAAATCATAACATCTATTGAAAACAAAAATATTGTTCTGCAGCATTTCTTAAAGTATCCCTTGGGTAAACGATACTTTCATGTGCAGCAAAAATGTGAATCGTTGCCACTCTTTCCCATAATGCAGATGTTTCTCAAGGAACATGTCTTAGGACCTGTCTTGTATATCCTGGTCTCGGCTGACAGTTTCTAATTACACAACTGTTACAATATACGCTGATGGCACAGCCAATATATACAGATAGCTACTAGCTCATCTAAAGAGGAAGCTTCACAACATCTGTAATCAAATTTATTGAAGCCTGGCTTTTCCGTTAGAAATTAAAAGTAAACGCACTAAAGTCCGATCAAATAATATTTATATTAACTTTTCAGCAACTCTGTAAAGTATCTTGGCGTGCATCTCTACAGAGTGTAAATAAATAAAATTTTAATAAAAAGAAAAGCTTCAGCCATTGAGTAATAAGTATACAGAAAGGGATTTTTGATTAAAATGTCTTTTTCAAAATACTTAAAACTTGCAAACACAACAAAACAACACAGTTACTTCTGCCGATGCCCAAAACTTAAAGACAACTTCAGATAATGTTCTATTAGAAATAACAACAACCAATAATCAAAACAAACGACTCGACAATAAAAATTCACACCACAATTTCAGACCTTGCTCTCCCATTTTGGTTTGGGGCTGAAGCCTATAATCTAAGCTTCTGCACTCTTCTAACTCATTGCTGTGGTTCATGACTTCTTTTTCTTCACTCGCTTTCAACTTTCAAGCAGCAAGGGAGATTTCTATTAACAACGGACCTCTATATCGTATCGAACTGGTTTCCCGTTTTTCTTAAATTTATTTTCATTGCATTTTCGGTGCTGGTAGAAGAGAGTTCAGAGTATTCCCTGACCGGGAACTCCAGACTAGATCCTTTTGTTTGTGTTTACTGCAATATATACTAATATCAGTGTCTTTGGCTCATATAATCTTCGTTCTAAATATCCGAGGGAGCATCTAAATGAAAGTTCTTAAAAATTTAAAACTTTTTATGTCCGACAGGACATAGAGTTTCAGTTTATCTGGCAGATTAGAAGAGCTAAAAAGCAAAGTCGTAAAGCATATAAGACTAAGCGTAATTTAATTTGTAAATACCGTTTAAAGTTAACTTAATATTAGTGTACTATCGCCCTTTGCTTGAAGATATGAACTCATTTAGATGGTGAACTTAAGCGAACATTGTGAGTCTAAGGAAAAAGTGCAGCTGCTACCTAAGTACCGAGTATGTTAGGATATGCAGAGATATATGAACATAAATATATAACAGCAAATCATGACTAATAAATATATATATAGGTCAAGGTCATAGGAACTCCCATGTGATAATAAATTAAATTATTGTAAATTGGCATTAAGATAAGAATACGTACATTTTTTTCTACAATTACATAATCATACAAACAATACACA